GCTGAGGCGACGCGCGGGGGCCTCTGCGCGAGCGCGTGGGAGGAGAGGGGCAGAAGAGACCAAGCGGGGTGAGGGAGAGGCCGTGGGACCGTGGGCAAGAGGATTTATCCCCCGGGGATCATTGTGAGCGGCCAGCCCCCGTGACACACTACCAGAGGGGGTCACGCTACTGTGACACAGGGTGGCAGCCCCTGGAGGGGGTTTGGGTAGTGCTTCCAGGCCTGCAGACCCATGGGATCTCCTGCTCCAGTCCTGAAGGGCTGTGCATCTTTTGTAGCTTCAGTGGGTAAAACATAATCCCTGAGCGGAACTGAAGCCCCTTTGGATCAGAATTAGCCTGTTCCACGGGTGGGAGGGTGCCTAGAGGCAGCAGGTAGCTTGTGCCAGATGCTTTTACCTCCTGCCTTAGTTACTGCTGCTGGCGCCTTTCCCTGGTGCTCCGCAGGGAGGTTCAGCTCCGCTCTGCTCCGTGGTGCGTGGGAGGGCTGGAAGCAAGGCTGAGCGGGGAGGCGGTGTGTGAAATCCCGTCTCCTGTTGCTGCGTGCGCACTGGTGCCACAGAGCTCCATGCCATGTGAAGCTGCACCGGGCTGTGTAATGCCCAGAGCCGCGGGGAGCGAGTTTTGGGCTTTGGCTGAGGATGAGGCCATGGTCGCCTGCACCCTGAGCGCTCACAGTCCCCTGCTCTGCCTAGGTTTGGGGTGCCAGTGTGCAAAGAGAGAAGGAGAAAGAAGGTCCCAAGCAGTAGCATGAAGCAGGGACCGGGCAGGATGTCCGTGCGTACTGCGGACGGGCAAGGATCCAGCGCTTACTCTGCTCCCTTCCTTGGAAGCTCTCTGTAAACAAAAGTTTCTGCTCGCTGCTGCCTGGAAGTCTGGGGAGGGGACAAGCACGCGGAGCTGACGGGACGAAAAATCTGCTGTTTCCCCCATGTTATCTGCGTGCAGCACAGAAGGGCAGCGGCAGTCATCTTCAGTGAGATATTTGGGCAGCAGAGGGTGATTCTCGCCCTAAGGATCCCAGGCTCAGGCTTGCAGGGAGGCAGCTGCGGAGCCATTTGACCTTCAAGACATTTACATCTCCAAATGCTTCACTGTGTCCTGGGTGAATTAAGTACAGAGACCTGGAGACCTGTGAGCCATGAACCTTGTAGGATTATGTGAATAGGAATCATGTGGCAACACCTCCAGAGAGCGATGGGAATCCACAAAACCCGGATGTGCGGGAGGTGAGGAAGGGCATCCCCACTGCCCAGTTTGTCCCAAGATCTCTCAGGACTCGCTCAAACCCCGTTCTGACGCTTGGCAGTCACCCCCAGAGCTGGAGAGCCCGAACTGAGGGGGGACTGGGTAGGAGAGTGGGAGAGGAAGGGGCTCCGGTGTCCACACTGAGGGGGCCGTTCGTGGGGTGCCCCCGGCGCCTCCTGTCCCCGGAGGACACAGCCGCACGGCCGGCACTGCCACCCCGCGCCTAGCGCGTGC